TATATATATATATATGGTTGGGTTTACGTGAGACCAGTCTGTTTTCGTGAGACCCGTGAGACAACTTTTTACACTTGAAACTTCACAGCAAAACGCTGTGAAGGTAAAAAAAAGTCGAACCTTCACAGCAAAAACACTGTGAAGGTTACTTTCACAGTGTTTTGCTATGAAAGTTCAAGTGTAAAAAAATTGTCTCACGAGTCTCACAAAAACAAGTTGATCTCATGTGACCACAAATCTCTCTCTCTCTCTCTCTCTCTCTCTCTATATATATATATATATATATATATATACAGAGAGAGAGAGAGAGGGGGAGGGAGGGAGGAGCAATCAAATGCAAATCACCCTTATTTGTATAAACCGTGCAAACCACCCTCATCCATCGGTTTCATTGTTTAATCTTATGAAATTGTTTAATCTTATGAAACTATTTCATATAATAATTTTTCTTATGAAGTAGTTTCATTTATAGTTATGAAATTGTTTCATATAATACTTACGAAATTTTAATGAAACTGTTTTATGTATTTCTCTAAAATTAATATAATTAAGATGATAATATCTACGATTAACACCCTTCATAATAAAAATAATTAATCAACCTCTCGTAATTACAAAAAAAATGAACAAAATAAAAAATTATGATTGGTTGAATAAAATTTATTATACAAATAACGTGGTTTATAAAGTAAACCTCTTCTATATAGATTTATATATAAAAATATAAAATTAAAAATAATAATAATAATATGGGTAGGTTATTAATGCATTCCGTCGGTGGCAATTGTTTGCTACATTTTTTTGTTTTGGAGATAAAGAAAAAAAGCATAATAAATGCACCCGATTAAAACAGATTATATTTGATATATAGAATTAATATATATTTTAAATGATATTTAATTATAAAAAATAAAAATAAAAATTGATTTATCATAATTAAAGTTATTAATTTCAAATAATAGTACAAAACAAAGAAATAAAGGAGGTACGGGTCGATCGCATCATGAATCGATGATCCACGACCTCTTTAGCTTTCTATCCATCAGGTCTTTTAAACCAAACAACAAAATCGATTAACCGATCTTCTTATAACATGTACTGGCTTCTTTATTAACAATACTGACTTCTTTATTAACAATACTGAGTTCTTTATTGACAACCAAAATAGAAACCTGGCAGTTATAGCTTAGAAAAAGATTTTCCGATCTCACGCTTATGATTATTATTACCTGGCTGAATGTCTCCTCACAACTTATACAGATCCTCTGTAAAAGCATCTCTACCTTACAGGTGCCAGTATCTTTTAAAAAATATATATCAGTAGAGACTTTTTGATTATTTTTTTCTGGCAGACCATTTACTCTGAAACAACCACCTATGTCTTATGTTTCTCAAATATTGGGTTCGTCGTGATTTGCCTCATCAGATAACTCTATTCAAGGAACCTGATGATCAAGTCCATATTTTTTAAAATGTGGCCGAAAATAAAGTTAGGGGTTCTTTACCTAAATGCTTACGCAGTAAGTGTTTATCGCTCGGAGTCAACACTATAATATATTTTACCGTGTAAGACTGTAATAAGTTTAATACCAAGGTTTATCACTTTGTATAAGAGAGATGTAAAAAATGGTCAAATACAAATATCGAGTCAAAGATCATTATATTTGGACAAAAAGTTGATTACCGACTCCACACGGAACCCGCCTCCAGGAAACCAATACAAGAGGGCATTTTTAGCTCACATAACGGCTAATGCTAGGGGGGGGGGGATCAAACCAGGACGTATTTAGTATTTGGGCAAAGTCGCTCTCTAAATGTAAGAATAAATGTGGAACCTTGTATCTATTATCTAAAAAAGTTATTGAATAGAGAATGAAGGATTCAGCATATATAAAAGAAAAATGGTCAAAAGCTAGCCGATGTGAGACTCTAAGATGCCTCCTCAAATGAAGGCTAGACAGTCACAACTTGTACAAGTCTTCTATATAATGAATTTCTGAGTACCTGATTTTTCTTTTGGGGGTATTTATGTCATTTTACGCGCACCGCTAATCCCGGAGGACCGTGAACGGCCTGGAGCCATCACAACCGAACCTCCATGATCACAAGGGTTTTGGCAGCACCCAGATTCAAATCTAGAGAAAATGAGGTTTCTACAACACCTCCCCTGTGTTTTAACCCATGCACCACAACCCATATGGTTAAGTACTTAAAATTTAGCCATAAGAGTTGTGGCGAAGTGGTTTAGTTTCTTGGGGATGTGGTGGAATATCTCATATGTCAATGATTCGTTCACAACAATTGTGGTCATTGAGTTTATCAGAGCTGATTTTTCTTCCGGCTGTAATTTATTGGATTATCGAATACAATTTGACATGTTATTTTTTACAAAAATAGAAAATGGTAATAAAAAAAGAGGGGTGATGTTGAGTGTATACTGAGATTCGATATGGCACAATCTTATAGATGTCTCGCTTTCTTCAAATCCACATAAATATCAACACTTGTATCCGATCAAACAATTTAACATGCCAACATTCAATTACATTGGGTCCTTTGGGTACCAACCAACAAGTGGCTTGCAATTTCAAAATCATGTCCATTTTCGTCATTTTACATCATGTAAATACAGATCCAGAAAAGTTTTTAACTAATAACATCATTTAGCTATAAGAATATATATGCAACAAAACGGTATATGGTCAAAGGCGGACCTAGAAATTTCTTCAAAGTGGTGGCACAATTTAACTGTAAGAGAATATCTAATTTTTTTCTTCATAATATTAGTATAGATTTGTTAGTTGGTTTCTTGTCTTTATATAGAAAGGACTCATGTTTGAGTCCGGTTTTTGTACTAAAGTAGGAGCATTTACCATCTTAGTCATCAAAGTCTTGTGTTAATATTTCAGTTCCCAAAACTATATAGTAGCAGCACCCAATAAAACAACACAGTGGCAACAAGTATTGTGGTGTAGCAGTTGAGGTTTGGGGGATATTAGGAACATTCCATCGGCCTTCCAGGCATACATTATATACTTTTTTTATTGCCACTGAGTTTATCAGAATTGATTTTTGCAGTCACAATTTGTCAGGATTAGTGTACGCATACCTTGGGATACCCTTCCAAAAAAGATAAATACCGCGACACCCTTCATAAACGTAATCCCCCCACCCCCCACCCCAACGAAACTATGACATGGTGGCTTGTGTCACTTTATCCATCCATGTGGGTCCGGACCTTGCATAGGAAGACACCTTTCAGAAACGTTTGTTTTTTTCATCATGAGAATAATAAAACAGTGGTCCATATCACCGTATGCTCTTGCATCACCGGTACCTCATATCAAATATCGAAACCTTGGTCCAAAATCAAAAATACAAAGACTTTTTTGTATAATTTATGAAAAGGGTTGGACCATAAAAATTGAAGGAAGGAGGGGTAACATGGGTATTAAACAGGGGTCTCTTGTATGCACATGGAAATTAAAGGATGAAAATAACACATTTAAAACCACCCCCACACTACCCATTAGGTGTGTTTTATGTACCCATAGGGGGTATTTTGATCAATTTGAAGACCTTCAGGCTTTAATGCAGGAGGTTCCACTCTTTTAAATAATACTCAAGGGTGCTTAATGGCTCATTGAAAGAGCATTTTAGCCGGTAGGAGATGATGTTGTTTTATATCAGTAACGGATGTTAGACGGTACTTATTCAAAATGTTTTTATCAATAAGTCTTTGATATGAAATATTTGGTAAAGAATCATTTTCATCAATGCTTACCCACACCAAACCTCGTATACAGACATCCCTTAGGGGTTGTTTACTTACAACTTAATGAGCTTAATGGATTGAACAGTGTAATCGCTCAGGCATACATAAGTATTTCTTTATGGCTTAATTGTTAAGCCATGAAGCTAAAATAGTTATATGGAATAAGTCAGGACCCCTCACTTATCTCCGTCAAGCCACCTCAAATAAATTAATGCCAAATATGCATCAGAAATGGTCCAACCAACCCTTTTTTGCCTCCCTCAAACTCGTCGGTCTAGTCCCTCAATCAGACATATTTATGTAGACAGATAACTTAACCCATATATAAGGGGGTAAAATAGTCGATTACAGAGGTGCTCATTTTAAAGCTTATTGGCCACATACTCTAAATAAAAAAGAACACCTTTTTGCTTAACGAAAAAGAACTAGACAACAAGAAGAGCTTATTTGTTTATCGGTCACATAAGCTCAATGAACAAGTGATGGTGAAAGTAATGTTTTCTAATGTGGGTCCCACTTCTTTTTAATAAGCTCCTCGACCGTGAAAGGTCAAATTTGTGTTCGTAAACGACCCCACCAGTTTGTATTTTTCACCGTTTCTAAAGTGAATCCTTCTAATGTCTTCTCACATTTTTCGGTAAAGCTCGCTTCTCGTTTAAGATGGAAAATGTATACACACAGACACCAAATTTCGTCCGTTAAGTGTCATAACATAAACAAAAAAAAATTGACAAATAAAAAACACGGAAATTTTTGAGATATCGGCTTTCACACCCCACCGGCGAAAAACGAATAGACTGAGTCTCTAATCATCCTCAGAGGTTTACCAAAAGAACATACTCTACCTGCATTCTTAAAAACTTAAATCGAGATATTACATCAAAGAAAGTAACGGAAAACTTGAAAAGTTCAGGAACCGGTACACAAAACCAGCAAGGTTTTTGGCGAGTTGATAGAATGATTCACCGGCTGTAGTATGGCGGCTGAACAGGTGATGAAGCATCTCCAGGTCGCATGTTTGTTGGTTGTCCACCACCTGCTAAAGGAGGTCCGCCGCCTGTAGTGGAATAAGGCGACGGGCCTGGGGGTGATCCGCCATAAAAAGTGGCCGCAGCTGAAACAAAGCCTGTTCTGGCACCTTGCGTATTTGGGTCCCACGACGGGGGTTGACCTGGCGGATTGGGTGGTTGAGCCTGTCCTGAACCACCGGCTGCATACTCGCCTCCAGAATACATTTGACTGGCCTGAGATGTTGGCCAAACCGGTGCACCAGCTGGCTGGCCAGACGCATGTTGCATTGCAAGCAGCGCTGATTCCGGGACTGTGTAGTCTCTACTCTTGTCACTGAATGCCTACAAATTATCATCACCTAATTAGTCAAACCAAAATCGATGCATTTTTTCTTCAAAACAGCAACACAAATAACACACCGGTGGAAAGCATAACATAATTCAAACCAAACTAAGCTAACCCAGTATGAATAAAGTTGTCTGTGTGGATTAATCTGTCTGGATAGACCAGGAAGATTTTGTTTGGGAGGGTTTTTTCATAGATGGAATGACCGTGGTTTCTAATTGGGAGGGGCAGGTTTGGAAACTTTCTGAATAAAACTCCCCCCTAGAAGCATACTGAATAAGCCACCTTGTATATCATTAAGTCATTACCAAACATTCATGTATAGCTGACCAAATAAGCAGCGAGTCCTATTAAGCTCATTAAGCTAACGAACAGGCCCTTAATCCCACTCGAAAGTAGGGTTGGGGTGGGATGTACGCCAGGGGCTGATTTAAGAACACTGGAGAGGGACCCGCTCTTTCGTGCCGACACAATGAATTTTGTTTAGGGATCTCAAAGACGTAGTCACTTTAAAATTGATGTGTGATCCCTTAAATTAACAGAATGTGGTTGTAGCCTACTGGTAGAGTCATTACTTCAATAATTATTTTTTGTTTTATTTTATATTATGCTAATAATTTTGTCCCCCAGTGGAAATATTTCTGGATCCGCTATTGATGTATGCAAACCTGAACTCTACCCAAAAGAGTAGAGCGGCTGTTTCAGGGATCCAGGCGGAAAGTAAATAATATCGGCATAGAATTGTACCCGTTTTGTTGCAAAACGTTTTTTACAGTTTGTTCTTATTTTTCTCAAGAATTAAGCGAAAATCACATACTTTATACCTTTACATTGAGATCAGTATGACGAGAGTATGATAGATGAAGCTTACAATAGCCACCATCATATATGCAGTGTCCCTCTAAAGCATCTTTGGCAACTGCTGCAGTCGTCACATCTATAAAGCAAAGACCGCTTATATAAGTCAACAAGAAATACCGAAAAGATATGGAGATAGGGGAAATTGCATGGAAGGAACTAGAGCACATTGGGGTACAAGATAAATTAAAATATGAATCCACCCAAAAAAGCAATTTAGGGTCTGTCTGTTAGCAGCTTAATGAGCTCAATGGGACTCACAGCTTATTCGATCAGCTACATGTAATTGTTTGATAGTGGCTTAATGATATAGAAAATGGCTTATCAGTAAGCTTCAGGGGCGAGCTTTATGTAGAAGGCCAAGTTTTCTTCAAGCCCACCCCTCCCAATTAAAAAACAGGCTCCTTCCATCAATGAAAAAGCCCACCCAAACAAAAACCTTCCCAATCTACTATGACCGATTAATCCACACAGACAGCTTTATCCATGCATGACTTAATGGTAAACCAACCAAACAGCCCCTTATTTTAGGATGAAGAACAAAGCATAATGAGAAATAGATAAGCCATGGAAACAACATGCTCTTGTTTGAGCATGAAAACAATGGATGATCATGGGAGGTGCAGGCACAGAGCATACCAAAAACCAAACAGACCCCAGTATATCCTACCTGGAGGTGAGGGCGAGGGAAGATGTACACAGACCTCGACTCTATGTCCTATATAGTTATGGAGGTGCCTATGCACGGGAACAGTCGGGGTTTCTCATCATCATACTTTTCACAAGCAGGAGTCTTCACGGAAACAGCCACCCTAGTACTTTGGGTAACGGTCAGGTCTGTGTACATCTTACCCTCCCCAGACCACGATACAAGTAGGTTACTGGTTCGTTTGGTTTGGTTCCATGGTTAAGAATTTAAGGCATGTGCATAATCTAGATGATATGCTACCTGCGTAGTAGCTTATATGGAAATTAGTTTCAAAAATAAATCAGAATGCTAGACCTAAAAGCAAATATACACACACTTCCAGTAACAAGTGCAAAGCTTCTGTTTCAGATTAGATGGATAACATTTTGATCACCGAATTTGGGCATTGGGACTCGGAGTGCCAAATTCCCTAAGCCTATAATGTTTTCTGGTACTCACAAAGGGGCTTAGCTCAGTGGCAATCCCCTGGGTCAATAAAAAGGATACTTCCTCTTATTGCCAGGTTCGATTCTCATTGGGTGCAAAAACCCTTGTGGCCATGGCAACCTTCCCTAGGGAGGGCTTTGCCGGTTCTAGGACTGCGTGGTGGTGGGCCTAGACCACGTGGATTAGTGACACCTCCGGGTGCTGACACAACTTTCATAAAAAAATGCTTTGTAGTAGCCGAGAGATGGTCTTCTATTATGTCGTGCACATTGAGCACATAACATACAGGATTTGCAAGCACAAACAGAAACAAACCACTGTGTGACTATGGTCAGAAGTAAGAGCAACAAGAAATCGCCTATCATGCAACAATTCCACACAGGGTTCAAGCACAAGTCCAGTTTCGGGGAAAAAAACATTTAGGAAACATTTCAATAACACAATCTTGGAGGGTTGGGTTCCGGTGAGAATGAGCATTATGGTGAGAAGGGTAAGAAGGGATATCCACCCCTGGATCAATCCTAATTGAAGAGTTCCACTAGATCAACACTAATGAGAAGCACCAGATCAATTCCAATCTAAAGCGCAATTCATGGGTTGTTTTGAGATTAAAAGTAATCAAGGGTCCAAATCCCTTCTTATACTTCTCACCTTAACTCCTATTCTCACACGATCCTTCATCCAATCTTATAGAACAAAGGGAGCAAGATAAATATGCAGCTGAGTAGAGAGTTCACCATGATACTGCACTAGTGCCTGTGTTCCACCATTCTTCTCGAATATTGCAATCTTTTGAATGGGACCAAATGCGGAGAACACCTGAAGAGGAGAAACAATTGATCACAAATATGAATATAGATCACCAAAATAGTACGTCCTGGCCACATAAAACAAGAAACTAACTACAATTCATTACCGTGTGAATAACATCCACTGTGACTGCATATATCATATTCTCAATCGATGCAAGAAGAACATTACTCTCAGGTTCTTTTTTCTTACCATCTGGGCCAACAATAGGCTGGAAAATAACTGCAAGTTAGTATATGCAAAGCATGCAACTTTAACAGTTTTAAAATCCAGATACATACCTGTGCAAATCCTTCAATTGCAGTAGGATTTACAGGAAGATAAGGGTTCGTGTAGTCTCTGCATGATGGAATATATGATTTAGAAAGAATATTAACTAATGGTACTAGATATTAAGAAGTAAAAAAGAAAAAAATTCAACAAGACAGAAAAAAGGTGGTTTTAGAACAATCTATATATATGGCAGGCACAGAAGATGTATGGCAGGATGCCAGGGGCTACTAGATTCACTATACACCAATCAATTTGCATGAACCTTTTAAAGGTAAATCTGACCTCTTGACTCGATTGCTAAGCCAAACAATACATGAATGGTGGCTTAATGCTTGAAGAAAGCAAAAGATTTTTGACAGTGTATATATTTAATTATATAAAATGTAAGTATGCAACTGCAGTAATTATATGTATGCCTCGTGAATTGGCAGCTAAGGCACTGGATTTCCACCCAGTTCGCAAGGAGATGTGTACCATGAGTTCATAAATGGCTAGAAAATCTCTCAACAAGTTGGATTCACAATATCTGATACTCGGATCACAGACATGACTCTGCTCAACTAAATTTCACACATTCTTTATCTGTTTGTTTCTTTGGATTGCAAGAGGTGAGGAATTTTTTGATGAAATTCAAAGAAGAGTTCACATCATATATTAAAGAACTACATTATACTCATCAGGATCATACAACTATTTTACCCGCCTTGTATACTGTTTTCAAGCAAAGAATAAGGAATGCTGAGACCCAGATCAGATTATAAATCAGCTATGAACACGAGTTTATCAGAAAATATCTGACAAGTGCCAATTCTAGCTAACCAAAAATAGTTTGGGATGGAGGGGGAAATTGGATTTAATTACAAAAGATTGTGTATATTTATGCACTTATGAGATTATATTGCAACAAGAGTGGGAGAAAAGGCAATCTAATGACCCTTCATGGATAGAGCATAACCTGGAAAGTACTAGTTCTGGGAATGGAAAGAGAGCACAGGAAAAGATCAACAAAATTGGACTAATTACGTAGTTATCCATAGGATTATCAAAAAGATAATCATTAATCAAAAGGAAGCAACTTATCTAGGTTAAAAACAACAAGCATACAAGAAGGCTTCAGAATACAGTGATTTACCACAGCCTTCGTTGACTAACTGTATAAATCAGCTTATGCAAAATCACAGAAATCATTAAGGCTTATATAAGATGAGGGAGTTTACTATGCATCGATGAAAACACATCTGTATTTAAGCTGCCAGGCTTCACTAACCCCTAAATAACAAAAAGCACATACATCCATTAGCAAACTCTCGACGGCAGGTTGAAGAGCACACAGCAGAGGCATAATGAAAATAAGACCAAGTGACTGAAGACCTGAATGATAGTAAGATCAGGGAAGAAACATGACAAATCAATCATTACCTGCTCCGATGAGATTGAAATTTAATATTCAGATCTGTGTGGGCAGAGTATGAGATGCGTAAGTGGCACGAACCAACATGCTCAGGCAGCAAGTACCTAAAATTTAGTAATAAGAATTAACATAGATACCACCAAGAATAAATAACCAACAGAAAGAACAACCAGTGCAAAAGTTTAACATGGAGAAAAGAAGATACCACAGCTAACAACCACAAAATTAAAACATGCCTTGGGATACTTCTTCCATCCAAAGCTTCTTTTGCTGACGAAGCAGTCTCCGCATCAGTAAATTGGATCAATGCCTAGCACATCATAGTATGAAGTCATTGAGAAAAAAAAAAGACAAAGTTCAAAGACTTAGCAGATGATTACGAGGCTTTTTGTTTTGTTTTTCCTATTAGGACCTGTTTGAAATAAGATTGTTGAACGTGGACAGCAGATACATAGTAGTTTATCCAATTAAGTTAAAAAAAACACTACTTAATGGCTGAGCACATGAGCCATTAAGCTCATTAAGTTGATCAAGCAAAAAAAACAAGCCCCATAGCAATATCATTGGCATAAACCTGAAAGCCTGCAGCCTTCTCAAACGTAGCAATCTTGTGCACAAATCCAAAAGCCGAGAAGACCTGCAATGTATATAATGAATCAAGTATAACACAGCAAAAGAAAAGAATATACAGATGATAAGTTATTAGAACTCGTAGAGGCAACCATTATATTGGCACAATAAGAAAAAAAATCAACAGTCAGTTATAAGTGCAGAATGACACCTGTATACGTAAGCGAGAAGATAGACCTTAGAAAGGAGTATGACGCACATGACAACATATCCAGACTGTCTCCAACAAAAGAACTAAAATAAGAGCCATCACCATTATAAAATCTGATTTCAATCAAATTGATAAATGTTAAAGCCACTCCTACTTAGGAATACAAGATTATACATTATTATACTTCGTAGGAAAAAAACAATATCCAGAAGTTGAGTTACAAAAAAGTGTTGTGATGCATACACTTAAATCACACAGAAACTAATAAAATGAGAATGAAAAGACAAAGGCAAACTACTAAGCAACAGGGAAAAAAATTACATTAGCATTAACTGTTCAAAAAGTTCCAAAGCTTAAAGACTATTGAGTATGACATGTTAGTAAGCCCATGACCTAGATTAGAAACAAGTAAATGCAACTTTACGATAACTCTTAGATAAGCCATCCCCTGATTCCTGTCCATACCCTCCCTCAGACATACAATCATACAGGATACCAAAGAAATTAAGAAATATTTATCTCTGACCATTGTATTAGTTGGTATAAACAAATTACTGTTCCAATGGCAGCGTAAACTTCTAGATATTTAACAATAATCACATGCATTACTATTTCTACCACAGAGAAGAGAACCCAACAATTTGAGCTGCAATCTTTTCGCAAATTTTTAAGGACTTCGGAAGATAAAGCAACCTCAAGCACTTACCAAGTGAATAACATCAATGCTCACTTCACCAGCTTCTACACCCTCGATGGTTACAAGCAAGACATTTCCTGGAACATCCCCTGGGCCCTTGTTGTTAACAATTTCGTGTCTATTGGAGTACTGTATATACACACTTTTGCCACGAACCTGTGCTGGCTCTGAGGATGAAGCATAATATGTAACCATATTAATAGCTTGATTAAGGTCTACCTGCAAATTTTCAAGGAACAAATACTTCAATTAACATGGGATTCAGATATTTAAATTGCATTTTAGGTTCAGTAAGTTTGGATTGGAACGCACACCTAGTGAACTGCCACCATATAATAATTGTTAACTACTAAAGAACTTAGTTCAAGGACGAAATATCCAGCACAATAAAACAAAATAAACTATGTTCTAGACACATAAACTCACAATCAATATCCAGAAAACAGTGTCTATTCTCACCCACTCTCACTTTCCCTAGCATAATTATTAAAAATATAAAAATATATTTTCACACACAACAGTTGCTGTATATATGCCATTCATTCTTAATCAATGCTAGTTTGAGAAAACAACAATCAGATGTCATATAAAGCTGTCACACCATGCATCCTTCTTTAGTTAACTCATGACTCATAAAAATCATTCATAGTGTTTTAGCAACATGGTGATTCATGGTTATAAAACCCGTTTGCTAAGCTAGAAGTCTACAACTACCGGCTAACCAACACGTGAGCTGGTATACACAGCTTTGCGTGCTTTTTCCCCTTTCCCTAAGCAAACAAATCAACTAATAAATGTAATATTGTTTAATGAAATATCACCTACTGACCTACATAGCACAGACAAAGCAGCATCTCAAAAACTATGAAAGGTTAAAAATGTGCATGCCTAGTTGATTTGTTAACTCATGACTCATAAAAAGCATTTATAGTGTTTTAGCAACATGGTGATTCATGGATATAAAACCTGTTTCCTAAGCTACAAGACTACAACCACTGGCTAATCAACATGTATGCTGGTATACCACAGCTTTGTGTGCTTTTTTCCCCTTTCCCTAAGCAAACAAATCGACTAATAGATATAATATTGTTTGATAAAATATCACCTACTGACCTATATACCACAGACAAAGAGGCATCTCAAAAACTATGAAGGCTTAGAAATGTGCATGCCTAGTTGGGACTCATATTTTGAAATTACCTCCTAAAAGTCTACCAAATACGTCTGCACATACACACACAAACATATTGACTTTGGTTAGAGAAACATAAATCAACAAGAAACCCTAAATCATCATATTGAATTAAATGCAAATCTAGTCTATGCCCTGAATATGATCTGATTACAAGTTTTCATCTACATAGACTGAAGAATTCAGGATAACTTGGCATGCACAAATATTCAGTTATTCACCTACAATAATAATCCCCATATATTTCCCTCATAATCCGCAAAAATACCATCGGCAATGCATCTGCTAGTTCATGACTCATGAAGGGAATAATCATTAGACCTCTTTTTGATAATACATTCATCTGTCATTTAACATTGCATCGTTTACAACAATAAAATTAGCTTAATTCCAGTTTCAAAAGTTGCATTCAACTCAAATCATAGAGATAATACTGCGTAGAATGTCATGCGGATACAAATTTGAACGAACTCGGATATTTTAAAAGCAATTGATATAAGGACTCTCTCTCTCTCTCTCTCTCTCTCTCTATATATATATATATATATACACACACACACATATATTGCGCGAATTCGATAATCGTATGATGACAGGAAAACCATAGACACAAAGTGTAACTAGAAGTAGATTAGATCGAAAAAGGAAATGAAATAATTGACTTACAAACTCCACGAATGCCTGGTTCCGATTGGCGCCCACATTGCACTTAGTGTTAACGATCTTGCCGAACGGTTTGCAGAGTTCAACGAGCTCTTCATCGATGCACTCCCATGGGAGATTCCGAAGGTGTAGAACCTTTGACGGCGTTTGCGTATATCTGAATTGAGGTTGTCCGGACGTCGACATCGCCGCCGATCTGTAGGTTCCTGTGGACCTCGATTAGTAGATGAACGTCAATGGTTTGGAGACGATGAATGAAGTTAGGGTTTGACTCGTCGGCCTTCGTTTTTGGCTCTCGTCACCACCGAGTTTCGTTTAATAAAATACAAAACCATAAAATTACGTCCGTTGGTCAACGGTCAAATGTAACTATCGAGTAAAACGGTGTTCGGGATTGCTTATAAAAACTGTTTTTTAATTTATTTTAGTTTAGCTTCGGTGATAAGCTTTTTTTTAGTGTTTGGATAAGAAAAAAAATTGTTTATATTGGTGTCAAACCGGTAATAAGCTGTTTTTAATAAATTAATCATTCCTGACTTATGAAAAATTGTTTATTACCAGTTTACAATTTTAACTCTGTTTTATTTAACTCCGGTTTGATACCACATAAGTTAATAAGCACTTTTACAAAAAAAAAAAACATAAGTAGTTTTAAATAAGCAATTCCAGACACCCCCTAAATATGAATGAGGTGTTTGGGATTACTTATAAAAACAACTTATTGACTTATTCTGGTATGGTACCGGTAATAAGCACTTTTGAGTGTTTGGATAGATAACTTATACCGATGTCAAACCGGTAATAAGCAGTTTTTAAAATATTTATAATTTATAATAAATTGATAAGCACTTTTGTAAAAAAAAACATAAATTGTTTCAAATAAGCGATCCCAAACACCCCTAAAATTTATGATAGAAATTTTACTTTTAAAAGAATTGGAATAAAATGTTGTTTATAATTTTAATTGATATTAAAAGGGTATTTGCACAATACAGCAGGATATATCTCGATTTTAGTGTTTTATTTTATGTGTGGATAAAGATGGCAGTATTGCATTAGGTACCTTTTAGGAAGGGTCGGTCTAGTTAATAGCTGGTTGAGATTGAAATGTAACTGGTTAAGAAGGGATAGGTTTGGCATCGGCCGAGTATGACAAGTTAATAAAGTTTTCTAGCCAGCTAGTTATGGACCGAACATCTACTGAGTTATTATTTGTTCCATTTGCCGATAATCTGAGAAATTATGACCAATTTTTAAAAGTGCTATGATTTTTAAGTGTTTATGGACTTAATCAATTAAAATGAGAAAGTTTAATGGTTTTCTCGTTTGAAAAAATAGTTTAGGGACTTGATAATTCATAATAAGAAAGTTTACTGGTTTTCTCATTCAAAAAAAGAGTTCAGGTATTTAATCATTTGAAATGAAATTGTTCGTTGGGTTCTTTTGAACTTTTCACAGTAAATAAAGACGAGGTTCATTTCTTACAGTGGAAGTAATTTCCACGTTAAAACGACATGTGGAAAAGTCTTGCATTTATTGACGAGCTCATGTTCAACGCAAAAACAAAATGGTTCAAGGCGGGCAAAAAAAACCCACGCTAGCTTAGATAAATTTAGATTAATGTTAAAAAATAATTTTCACATGGGACAAGACGGTCATCGAATCCTATAGACGTTATAACCGTTCATTATATTTAGACCTTAAATCGACCTCTTTTTTGTAACCCTAAGTTTTCAGGTTAACCTACGCAGAGGAAACCTCCATGGTCACATAGTTTTAGCAGCGTCCGGATTCGAATCTATGGCAGATGAGATTTTCCACTACATCCCTCTTAAGCTTAACTAATGAGTCACAAGCCAAATGGGTTACAGTAATTTACAAATCTAGCAAGTTGTCAAAAAGTAATTCCAATCTTATTAAGTCGTATATTTACATGTGGTTTAATCTTGTTAAGTATATGATTGTCTAAGGTTTCCAGCATCGTTATATGTTGACTTTGTGGAAAGAACATGAGCAACAATTTCCAATCCACATCGGAACTGCTCGACATTTGTGTTTGCTTTTATTATTATTTGAATAGTCACGACCCGATGCAAGATACAATCACTCAATATAAAACCTTCGTACGGGTTGGTCGGATTGATAATTTGGTACATTAAAATATTATTTTAACCTTGAATATGTTATTTTTCTACTCATATTTTTTTTCATCATCAACCATTTGATACAATTTATCAATACTTTTTACGTATATCACATTCAGTTAATTTTCTCAAATTATATATATATATATATATGTTCACAGTTACTAAACATATATACGAATGAGTTATATAAAGATTGAATATATTGAAAATATGTGTATATAAAGAGCGTAATGATAGTGCAACTGTCTAATATATATATATATATATATATATATATATTAATAGAAATTTAACGATCATATTAAATTCAAGAAATAAAAGGATATCGGGTTCATCGGGGTGGGTTGTGTTCAGATAATAGCAACCCAATATCAACTCAATACCTACGGTTTGAAAATTTTACAACTCGATTAGACATCGGGTTGCTTTGGGTTGAGTTATTTTCGCGTTGGGTTTATCGGATTGGTCGAGTTTTTAAGCACCATACGGACAACGACAATAATGACAAAAAATATATTGATTTGGTAAACTAAAATGAGTTATCTTTTCATACGTCGACCGAAAAAGAATCTCTACGGGTTTGAAGAACCCGTTGGGGAACCTCTTTATTAAAGAACCACAAATTTAAAATCATAATGAATCATCACTATATTAATAACCAATATTGAATGTCAAATATGTCTGTCATTTAATAATAAATTTATACATATATAATTATTTGTAGACACACATTATATACATATGTAATATACTTTTATTATAAAAATATTTATTTTATTATAACTTAATAAATTACATAAATTAATTAAAATATAAAAAATATATAAAAAAACTTATTAGAGATAAATTGATCATTTTATTAGTCATATTCTATACAATCATGTTTTATCAAATGCTGAACAACTTTCATGTTCTGTTATATTTTGTCATATATGATAACAAAGGCCGCCTTAAAATTGAATTTAAAATGGAAAAAGGCTAAAAAGACCAAATGGACTTTAGTATTTGAAATGTTTAAGTCATTGAACAATTTTTTTAAATAAATAAGTCTTTAACATTCTAAAACATGTTAAATAACTTATTAGACTTTCTAAGACTTGTTAGATATATTTTTATGACAAGTACAACTGATTAATGTAGTAAAATAATGAAAAAAGTCTGAAAAAAACCAACAGACTTTCATATTTTGAACGATTAAATCTCTAAATTTTTTTAACAAAAACATTTATAAAATGAAACAAATATATTAAAAAGTACTTACATTTTAAAAAATTATTGAAGAAATTTACTTTAATTATAAATAAAATATATTATGTCAGTGATTTTTCAAATAAAAAAGGATTACTGATTAAATTTATTTTGAATAAAAATAAAATATAGTACGTTGATGATTTTTTACATTAAAAAATAGAAAATAATTTGATTAAATTACTAAGGGATAACAATAAAATTTAACTAAATACATAATTAATTAAAATTCGTCGCCAATCCAACGGTTAAATGATATCTCCGACAAGATTCAAACACGATCTTTCACACTTATTAACATGTTATTGTGTTAGAGTGTCTGACGGTGATCAAGTTGGCCATCAATTAGATATAAGTAATCCATGTATATATATCAATGAATACTAGCGACGATTTTTACTTAATTATGTATTTAGTTAAGTTTTATCGTATTTGTCAATAATTTAATTAAATTATTTCCTATTTTTTTAATTTGTAAAATCATCAACGAAATATATTTTATTTTTAATTAAAATAAGTTTCATCANATAATATTAATCAATAATTCTTTTTAATTTAAAAAACGGTGATATAATAACTTTTATTTTTAATTAGAATAAATTTTATCATTAACTTTTTAAATGTAAATACCTTTTCGATATATTTGTTTTATTTTACAGATGTAAGTGTTATTTTTTGTTCAAATAATCGTAGTTCATTGGTTTTTTCATATTTTTTTTCATTATTTTACCATATTAATCAGTTTTGTAAGTTGTAAGAATGTATTTAACAAGTTTTAGAAAACTAAAAAGTTATTTAACATGTTTTGAAATGTCTAAAAATTTATTTATTCTAAAAAATTATCCAAAAACGTTACAATTTTAAACATTAAAGTCCATATGTATGTATTATAAATTGAAAAATGGGTTAAAAGAAAAATATTGCTTTTCTGTATCTATATCTATACTATATTATAAATCAAATTTAACAAAATTTTTAAAGTCTTAAAATACTAAATGACCAAGATACTCTTTATATCACATTTCACCCTTTCCTCTCCTCACATACACTCACACCTTCACATACACTCACCATCTCACAACTGCTTTTTTTAAAATTATAATTTTAAATTTACATTTTATACCACTATAATTAGTTAATTAATTTACTTTACGTTCTTTACTTTTAAATGATTCATTTTAAACCTTTATCAAATTAATATACATAATCGTATATCAATTAAAACATGTTTAAAAAATATATTTTTATTTTAACAAGTTATACCATTATAATCGTCTCGTTAATACTTTCGAAATGACTCCAATATTGAATAATTTTTGACTTAATTATATTATTATATGTTATATATACTGTGAAAAAATATTTTTAATATTTACGATTTATACTTTTATAGTTATTTATTTACATATATACTATATATTTTGGGGTTAGGCTGTCCAAATTGCACTGTATAATATGTTCTTGGGTTTTTTTGATATATATATATATATATATATACATGTATTAAATCAACTTAATCTGAGTTTCTGGACAAGAAAGATGGTAAACAATTGAAATTTTATTATAAAACTCATATTTTTTCGTCTTTTCATGGCCTATGATCTGTCAAATTTATGGTTTTTTTATTGTTTTTGAGTGTTTATCTTAAAGCTCAAGTTTTTTGGTTCTTTGCTCTTGGTGTAAATCGAACACATTTGTGGAGTCGTGTAAATATGTTGGATTTTAAACATATTGGATTTTAAAGTGTCATACAATTTTTTTCATCGATAATCTGTAATTGGAACCATAACTCTTATTTTATTCAAATTATATTAATATATAAATACTAAATATAATATATATCATCATTAAATCTTATCTTATAAAACCAGTTGAACTTCAAACTCGTTAATATTCATGACTTTGTAAAAATTAAAAGCAAGGCTGCGGGGTCGGTTTATGAGTTCTTTTTATATGTTTCGTGCACGACGTTTTGGATCGAAAGTCAGAAACCCTAGATAACAAAAATACAGTCGGTGTTCATCTCTCTCCCATTCAGCCAACGTCGAATTGACCTTCCAATTTGAACAACCAAGGTATGAAATCCCAATCCATCTCTTTTTTCTTCTTCTGGATTCCTTCGAAATCATTGTAATTTTAGGGATTAATCATTTATGAAGCACTTTTGATTTTTTTTGAAGCATTTATTATCCAGACTATTAACCGTACATATGTTGATTAGGTTTACGGGTCATTTAGAGAAATGCTTTGCATCTTCTTGTGGTTTTCAATGATTCCTATCAGTTTTGTTAGTTTTGAAATTGGTTACCAGTAATTTACTGTTTTCAGCTCTAGATCTTGACTTAAGCTCAAAGAATTTGCAGGTGAGTATCGTGTATGGATTTTTATGTTTGCTTCTGCCATGGATAACTGGGCAGCATTTGGTTCCTTTAATGCATTGCTTAGACTGTTATTATGAACACCGACTTATGTTTAATGGGTCAGGTTCAGGGGAAAATTGCAAAAGAGAAAAGCCGATGAACACCCTGGTAACCATTCATTTGGACGGTATGCACATGTGCATATAAGTAATTTGTAAGCAATTTGTCGGGTATGCAGACCAAGAAACAGCTTCATTTACTTGTATGCACATGTGTATAGCTTCCAGATCAGAGGCGGATCCAGAGATATATTTGTGGTTGCACCGTTGTACACAACCAAACAAAATTGTAGCATTCTTAAGGACGGATACCAACTGGTGCCCCCTAAATCCGCTCCTGGTCCAGATGTATGGTTGCCTGAGTGTTCCTTAGTTTTTCATTTATTTGGGAGTTCTCCCCGAAACCTCCCTATATGTTTAATATACCGTACTCAATACTGATATATCTTGTTTTTTATTGTATGCCCATCACAATGTTTTATAGCCATATCATCAGTATTTGAATTTTTTTGGGGTTCCAGTTATTTATCTTTCCCTGTTTCTGCTTTGTCATTGTGAACATGTCATGATAATTGTGTTTCATATGTTTATGGGAACAGATTGTTATTTGGTGGGTTAACACCTTGAGTTGGAATAGGTACCTTTGTGCACCACATGGCTGGGCAAAGAAATAGTCATGGAAAGCGTTCGCATTCTCAATCTGACTACAATGATCATGGAAGAAGCAAGAGACGGACTAACAGCGATGACAGAGGACAGAATTCTATTGGTTCAGATGATACGGTGTACCGCTACTTATGTCCTGGTAGGAAGATTGGAAGTATAATGGGAAGGGGTGGGGATATTGTTAAGCAACTGAGATCTGAGAGTAAGGCAAAAATTAGAATTGGTGAGACGGTGTCGGGATGTGATGAACGTGTTGTCACTATCCACAGCACGAGTGAGGAAACAAATGATTTTGATGGCCCTGATGATCGTGTGTGTCCAGCAATGGATGCTCTTTTCAAAGTGCATGATAGAGTTGTTGCTGATGACCTAACTGCTGAAGAGGATTCCGAGGAAACACCGCAAGTTACTGTTCGACTCCTTGTACCATCAGATCAGATTGGATGTATTATTGGAAAAGGTGGACAGATAGTTCAAACTATACGGACTGACACTGGGGCTCAGATTCGAATTATGAAGGATAATCATCTGCCTGCTTGTGCATTAAGTAGCGATGAACTTGTGCAGGTACATCAAAAAACATACCACAGTTGTTTTTTCTTGCCATTTTTTGTTTTAGTTGTTTTCAACTGTCAATCATGCTGTCCTGATAATTTTTAATTGTGAAATACAACACCGAGTTTACAATTTGCACGGACCACATTGGACATTTTAATTTGATGTTTTACAAGTTCATATCTTTACATCAAGCTTATCCGTCATTCTTCTCATGATACAGATATCTGGTGAAGCCTCTATTGTGAGAAAAGCACTCTTCCAAATTGCAACTCGTCTTCACGATAACCCATCACGGTCACAGCACTTGCTTGCTTCCTCCACACCTAATGCTTATCCTTCTGGTGGTTCTATTATGGGTGCAGCTGCTGGTGCACCGATTATGGGTTTGACTCCACTGGTTGGTGCTTATGGTGGGTACAAGGGTGAAAGCGGGGAGTGGCCACGTGGCTTCTATCCAGGTCCAAGGGATGATGCTTCACCGAAGGAATTTTCTCTTCGTTTGATTTGCCCTACTGCAAACATTGGTGGTGTAATTGGCAAGGGTGGTGCTATAATTAATCAAATTAGACAGGAAACTGGAGCAGCCATCAAAGTTGATAGTTCAGCGACCGAGGCAGATGATTGCATAATATCTATTTCAGCGAAAGAGGTAACTTTGAGTGGTCCCAAGTAAAATCTTTCATGATATCTAGATCAAAGATAAAGCTTTATGTGATTTTGTTTTATTAATGTATAGGTATTTGAAGACACATTTTCTCCAGCTATTGAGGCGGCATTACGCCTGCAACCCAGGTGTAGTGAGAGAGTTGAACGAGATTCAGGTCTTATTTCTTTTACTACTAGATTGCTTGTGCCAACCTCTCGGATTGGGTGCCTTATTGGGAAAGGAGGAGCAATAATCACAGAAATCAGGAGAGCTACCAAAGCTAACATTCGCATTCTTTCAAAGGAGAACCTTCCAAAAGTTGCCGAGGATGATGATGAGATGGTACAGGTACATACAAAAATGTAATTTTTAAGCGAAGTTCTATTTGACTTCATCAGATCTGTACATGCAAGTAACGGTTTTTTGGTCTTTCTTATTAGATTTCAGCAGAACTTGATCTCGCCAAAGACGCACTCTTACAAGTAACCTCACGATTGAGGGCAAATCTTTTTGAAAGAGAAGGCGCAATGTCTACTTTTGTTCCAGTTCTTCCATACCTTCCTGTGGCACCTGATGTGCCTGATGTTCCAAAGTATGAGAATAGAGATTCTAAAGGTCATGGACGAGTACATTCTTATTCTGGTGGATATAATGCATCTACTGACTTGCCAGCTAATGATGGATATGGAAGCTATGGTGGATTGCAGGTGAGTGTATATATTATTTAAGGCCTCTTTGTTAAGAGCTTAATGGGACTCACAGCTTATTTGGTCAGCTATAGATGACTGTTTGGTAGTGGCTTAATGATATAGATAGTGGCTTATTCAGTAAGCTTCTAAGGGGGAGCTTTATGTAGAAAGCCATGCTCTTTCCAAACCCGCTCCTCCCAATTAAAAAAAACGCTTCTTCCATCTATGAAAAAACCCTCCCAAACAAAAACCTCCCGAATCTATACATACATGATTAATCTACGCAGATGGCTTTATCCATACAGGACTTAACAGAAAATCAACCAAACAACCCTTTTACTTGTGCAGTGTCAAAATATAAATTACATGCTATATTTGGCTATAGGTTTAATGAATAACTTCTATCAGCTCACATTTTTTGGTTTTGGTCCATTATCTTTTTCTATTTTCTTATTTTTGGTTGTGTTTGTGTGCTTATGGTATTGCTCTTGCTGTTCATGTTTACTGGTTCCTTCGTGCAAGGAAACTAAACTTTGCCTTATTGTTGTGTTTTTCTTCATCTTTCTCCACAATATGTATTATGGTGATCTGTTCTTGGTGTCATTGAATGGCCTATCATGACGTCTTCAACTTTTCTTTGCTGTGTCATAATTTTTGTTCTCACTTCAGATGCAACCAAAAATGGAACGAAGATGTTCTTAGAGCATCTCCAACAAATTCTCCAAAATTTCTGCTGAACTTCTCCAAAATGGAGGATGAAACTTAAAAAACTCTAGAACAAAAATACATTCAACTCCAATAGATTCTCCATTTTGGAGATTACTACAACATTGATTATATTATTAAAATATCCCTTTCATTTCTCTCTAAATATTTATTTTCAAAGTTCCCAATTGGTGGAAATTTATTAAATAATATTTCTCTATCATTGTAATTATTTTTGGGGTGTTCTCCAAATTTGGAGATTTTTACACTCTCTCCCCTACTTTCTCCATTTTGAAGAAAGGTTTTGGAGAATCTGTTGGAGCAAAAAAACATGAACAAAATTCCCAAAATCTCTACTTTTTCCATTTTGGAAGATCTGTTGGAGATGCACTTAATCAACAAGTACTTATTCTAACATAATTTCTCTCAGGGGCGAAGTGGTGGTGATGCTTATGGAGCCTATGGTGGTGGCTATTCTTCTGGACGCAGTGGGAGTTCTGGGTAAGTATATTATGCTTTGACAATTTTTATCTATCTACTTATATGGTTCTAAGTACAGATTAGTTAGTTTACGAGGATCTTCCAGAGATCATGTGTTTGGTGTGATTAATACCCATAGATAATAAGGAAAATGATTTAACTAGGAAAAAAGAAAGATTTCATTTGACATCCTAGCCTTACAGAGGTAACTAACCTGCTGTTGGAAGGTTGGACAAGCTGACGGGTGCACCAAAGAAGAGGTCACAATGAATGATTGCATCATTATCTTTCAATGAGTGCTCTAATTTATTTTCTTGCTGATATTTATCTCTATCCTGTGATTTCCTTAAGTTGCTAACAGAATGAGAACTCCTTGCAGCTCAAAAGATGCGTTAGAAAGTCCCTAATTTTTCTATTATGTGATGAGCACACTATAAATGGTTAACATCTGTCGTGTTTGTAAGTTTGAACATTTTATTGACTGCTATCAGAAACTTGTGCTGTGAGAGTCTATCTTATTATTATGATCAACCAGATGTAAGAAAGTGAGATTTTCTTTTATGAACTCCACATCTTTTTGAGACGGTCAAATGAGTCGCAACTTTCATTCAAGCTTATGACTGCATTGAGTGTTACTATTGATATCCACGCCTTGTTTCTTCAAAATTCAAAGTAGTTTATATTGTTATTTTTGATAGCTAATTATCATTTTCCTGCTTCTGTTATTTTGATCTTTCCCTGCTGGTGTGTTTGGTATGCCGGACTGGATGGAACAGGATAAGACAAAAACTTGTTGCTTCACATTTGGCGCGACATTTAGACTTCCTTTGTCCGACAAAAACAGGTGGAACAAAAAGCAGGGAGATGGGGCAAGATTGGCAAATTACTAAACTACCCATATCAAATTAAAACCCTAAAACCTTTCACAATTCTTTCACCTATCTATCTCACTCTCCCCTGTCCAGTCCCGTCCCATCTACTTACCAACGCACCCGTAGCAGTTTGAAGAGTTCCCTTTAGTAGCATGTCATTGTTATTTACTGAAGCGGACCCACATCAGAGGTATCTACATTTTTATAATGGTTGTTGGCTTCTGTTGCCAGGTTGTCGAGGCATAACCCTGTTTCTAGGCGGAGGGATTATGGGTATTGAAGTGTTGATCTGCGTGCTTGCGCAGGTGAGTGACGATTTCCCTTTCTTGAGGTTTTGAATCGACTAATATCTCTTCAGTTGTTGATCTATACCAAGTTTATGACACTCTGTGCAGTATAAACCTAGCCTCTCCCATATATGGATCTGATTCTCTTTTATGTTAACCTTTTTTTTCCTTTCCATTCCCTATAAAACAGCTGAGACACTTGAAGCCTGAAGCCAAGCCAAGCCTGCCTCCAACCTATATTGGCGAAGCCTCTGCCTAAACCAGAAGACCAGTTGAACCAGTGTTGGAAAACTTATGGCCCACCTTTCATGCTTTTCTTAAGAGGACCACTATTCGAAGATCTTATTTACTACTTCTACTACTGATATTCTCCATGTCCTAAAAACTAATTTACCGAGCTTTCGTTTCTTGATTTCCAAACAACCTGTGCCTTGATCAATGTTTCCAAATTCCATACCTTTGGCAGTTTGTAATGTTCAGTATTTTATTGCATTGTCTCTGAAGCTTTCTGAAGTTTCTGATCCTTCTGACCTACAAAAGGGTGTTCGTCACCCTCTGGAGAGCCCCCACCAGATCGGTCCCACGGTCATCATGGGGATGTTTTTTGACCTAGGAATAGTCGACTGTTTTGCCATGAATGGGATCATCAAAGCTGTAGCATGCATGTGATTATTGTCTACCCCCCTTCCCCCCCCCCCCTCCCCAAATAAAAAGAAAAACAGCTGATGAGTAATCTGCCAAACGAAACAAAACCAAACAAGTCCGGAATTATCCCATCTGGATGTGGGGTCTGGGAGGGTAAATAGTACACATATCTATCCTCTACCCCAAAGAGAGACGGGTGATCATCAACCCTTGGAAACTGTTCTCTAGGATCCTACTGTGCTGATATTTATTGGAAGTTGTCATGCAATTAGGTACATTTTAAGCCTAGTTGGCAATATTGGTCTATTTGCTTACTATATATAACTCTTCACATATTAGTGTAGAAAGATCTGCACTTTTTGCATATAATTGACATATTAGATATAAAGACGAAGGGTCGTGTGAGAATAAGAGTTAAGTTGAGGAGTGTAAGAAGGGATCTGGACCCTTATCACTTTTAATCTCACCCCACCCAATGAATTGCGCTTCTCACAGGAATTGGTCCGGTGCATCGCTGTGCATCTCATTGCTGTTGATCTAAGGGTGGAGATCCCTTCTTGCCCTTCTCATCGTGACTTTCATTCTCATTAGAACCAACCTGTAGATATAAAAGGGTGTGATTGGGATGCAGGACAGGATGAGACAGAACAGTACATAAACTTGTCCCATATTTGGTGCGACATTAGACTTGGACATGATAAGACCTGAAGTGGGACATAAATGCCCACCAAGATTAGTATATTACTAAATTACCCATGTCAAATTAAGACCTTAAAACCCTCCAGAATTCTTTCATCTGCCTGCCTCCCTCATACTCACCCATCCAACCTGTCCAATCCCGTCCATGTACCAACTACACCCAAACAGAACAGATGTTAGTCATGACCTTCCTTATCGTATATCATATTCATTAGTTCAGTCATCTGTATAATATATCTTCTTTATATGCTCGTATTCTGCCAACATTATCTCCATTCTATGCTCAGTGGAGGTAGAAACTGGCTTTGTTTTTCGACATGCTTACATTCACCAGCTTTTACTACATATGTTTGTTCTTTACTTGTCCTTTTTCCTAAATATTTTTTTCGCTGAATCGAACCCAATAATTCTATAGTCCCAAATATCGGGATATCTTTCTTTGGTTAATAACTTGCGCGAGTTTCGAGTGGGCATGATAATTTGAAGGAAATAAAAATGGAGGAAGGATTGATTGAAGGTTTGTGAAGATGATGGTTATTGATTAGTAGACAATACAGCATCCTTTTGGGAGCATTCTTGATGCTAACAAGTTGGATTGAAGTCATCTTGTAGTCTTTTTTATCGTATGTTATGTTTTCGGTTATTAATGTTACGGTACTTTTATATAAGGATTAGATAAAAGTGGGTTGAATGCTTGAAGTGGAGATATGGAAGTGTTGATGTTGGTGTATTGTGATCAAATCTTTGTTGTGCAGCAATTGCTATACGAGGGTAGGGACAGGTTCGTAAATATTTTGAGAACCGTGGAAACCAACTATAACATGAACTATTCATAATGAATATGCATGATATTCTTTATGAATAGTATTAAGAATATTTAGATATTATTGTTGGTTCAGTATATTTACAGTCCCTGAATCAACCCACAGGTTCTAAAATATTTTGAGAACAGGGGAAACCAACTGAACATGAACCATTCATAATGCATATTCATGATATTCATAATGAATGGTATTAAGAATATTTAGGTATTATTGTTGGTTTTTAGTATGTTTACAGTTTTTGAATGAACTCTCTCCTGTAAGCCTATATAATGATTGATAATAGATGTGTTTTTTATAGTCTCTTTTGAAGATATTTGGTAGCTCGTCTTGCATTGTTTTGTTGAGTGATGTTGTGAAATCGGTGGTGTGAAATAGGTGGGTATAACAAGTCAAAATCTTATTGTCTATTTACCAAATGCTTATTGGGTATGCACTTATTGGTAAGTCTTGCCCCATTGTTTATCTTGTCGGTAACATTCTCCCTTACCTGTATCTTAGTTGGGTAAGCACTTATTGGTGAGTCCGCCACATTGTTTATCTTGTCGATAACATTCTCTCTTACTTGTATCTTAGTTGCGTAAGCACTTATTGGTAAGATTCGCATTCTTTATCTTGTTGGCAAGAGTCGGCTCGCCCACTTAACTGATTAAGATTCTTGATCTTTATTATGTTTTTTACTGGGTAAGGTTCTCAGTTCTTACCATGCTCATTTGCAAGGTAAATGATCCCTCAAGTGAAAAATGTATTTAAATGAATCGAAGAACTATAAAAAGCGGATGAAAAAGTAATTCAATATGGATGCAAAGTTAATATAAATAAAATGATCGGCGTAATTCTTTGGCTCCCATTTTGATGATATTTTGCCATTTTCTATAAAGAGGAACTGGATGGCCGTTAAAAAAAGGTACCAATTCCTTACAAAATGACATAATCTATAATAAATGAAGTTTAAGGACCATTTTCGTAAGAACTATAAAACCATAGGGACCAAATCCATAATTTACTCTATATTTAATCACTTCGATCATGTCTCAATCTAAGATTTGAATAAATCAATCAATTTCCCCCATAGACTTTTCAGGGGTGTTTTCCCTTATTTGTTATTGGTTAATACTCATAAAAGTTGCTTTAATGAGTCGCTTAACGAACATTTATGAGTAATTACTTACCGGTAAAAGTTATCACGTTCACCTTGTTGGGTCATTTTCTTGGTCATTAAAATGAATTACTGTAGACACATTTTACACAGTAGACATTAACTGGGTAAGAGTCTTCTCTCTCATCGGGTAAAATTCTTGGGTGTTACTCGCCTTACCAAAAACAATCTAAGGACAAAGAATCTTATCTGGTAAATAGACAAGAACCAAATGGTCCTTTCAATAAACTCTTTGTGTTGAGTAGACATAACTCCTAAGATGTTAAATGGATATAAAGAAATGGGTATGGCATCGTTCTTTTGAACATCACCTTCAGAGATCGTTATATACTCGTTTAAAAATACTGGTCTCGTTAATGAACTGCTTCTAAAAAAGATTGGTCTTGTTGTCTAGTCAGCGGTTCGGACATGTTCGTTCGAACATCTCTAGCCATCATGTATTGGTTCTACGGTCATAATGAGAAGGTAAATTATGTGTCTAACAGATATATGAGTGATGTTTGGAGTCAAACCTAGATTATTTCATTCTTTCTGTAAAGATGCTTAACTGCTTATCTCTTAAAACATCTCCAACAAATTCTCTAAATTGAAGAAATTGAGATTTTAGGCTCTGAAAAAAAATTTAAAACGAAAAGCTAGTAGACACAGTATACTAATCTCCAACTTTGGAGAACTTAAACCACAAGGGTGGTACCTGATTGGTTTGAGTTTGGCTCCAAAGGTCAAAAGTGACTGGAGGTCACAGGTTCAAATCCAAGAAGGAACAAAAATTCCCTTGTGTCTACGGAGGTTCAAATGCGATAACTTCGGGCTACCTGCAAAGCAGGTGGTTGCCCTGGAATTAGTCGGCTCGCATAGCGGGTTGAATATCCAGGTTAATCAATTTTTTTTGGAGAATTTCATGTTTGAGTGAGAATTTTGGATCAGAATTTTTCGAGGCATAGACCGAGGGGATTTATGTTCTCATTGAACTCATATTAGGACACCTGCATTATCTTTTAACAGATGTGTTGTTCCAGTATTTTCACATCATTATTTTATATAAAAATTTAAAAGTTTATTGGAATAATAAATTAATAAAATATTTTAATAATAGAAAAATTAGTGGATTTCAATTTATTAATTTTAGGGCAAATTGCATGAAAAAGAAATGTACTTTAACTTGATTCCTATTTTGAGTAACATACTTTCAAAACTTCTATTTTAGTACCTAAGATGTAAAATTTTAAACATTTAAGTATCCGGGTAACTGGTTGAAGTATTAACCGATTATCATGCTGATGTGTCGAGTGATGTGGTATCCAACTCGGTATTATTTGCTGACCTGGTCAATGACGTGGATTTTTTAAAATCTAAAATTAGTCTTTTGTTTAGTCTAAAATTAGTCTTCATTGGGTTACTCGGGTACTTAAATGTTTAAAACTTTACATCTTAGGTACCAAAATAAAATTTTTGAAAGTACGTTACCCAAAATAGGAATCAAGTTAAAGTACGTTAGTTTTTCATGCAATTTTCCCTTCATTTTATTTAAATTTAAACTTTTGTTTCTTTATTTTAAATAATTTATAGAAATATTTATAACATTTTACTTGCAAGAATTAAGTGTTTTGAAAATGTAATTATTATAAAATTAATTCACTTAAATAAAAAAAATAATAGATATTATATAAAAGACAAAAAAAAAGGTACAGAAAGTGTAGTTATCATGGGTCACTTTCCTGGGCAGAACCTAAAGCCTGGTAGAAGTTATTCATATATGAAGTAAATTTACCCAACTAACTCCCAATTCAAAACCTATATAACTCTACATTATATATATTATATATATATATATATATATATATATATATACACACACTTTAGATCACGTGAGATCAGCTTGTTTTTTCATGAGACCTGTGAGACTATTTTTTTACACTTGAAACTTCCTATCAAAACGCTGTGAATGTAATTTTCACAGTGTTTTTGCTGTGAAGGTTCGATTTTTTTTTACCTTCACAGTGTTTTGCTGTGAAGTTTCAAGTGTAAAAAAATGGTTTCACGGGTCTCATGAAAACAAGTTGTTCTCACGTGAACTCAATCCTATATATATAATTTAAGTTTTTCTTCATATTTTAGTAGTCAAGTATTGAAAATAGCGATCACTAATCCGTATTGTGTAATAACCGTTATTATGTTAATAATAAAGTATATAAATTTGAAAGAAAAACGTAATTAACAAGGTTTATTTAAACGAATATGACAAATTCTCTTACTTCCAAAGGACGGGTGTAGTCCGTTAGTAAAAGGGAGTTGTGTATTTCCATATTACAACCATGTGGTCATATCATGTTGAAATGACAATTTCACTCCCGTAATAACTTATCAGTAGATTGATTTCTTGACTTACATATGCGCTTTTGTCTCTATCATAAATCATCAATAACGTTAGTTTTAATAAAGATCTATGCAGGTCCCAACGGGGCCCTTCATCCGTTCAACAGATTTTTTTTGAGTTACACATGCTAATACCTTGAGGGCTGCTATCAGATATTATAAAATACAAGAGAAATCAACCAAAAGCTGAATAAAGTCTTTCAAAACAACCAAAATACTTGAAAAAAAACCCCTCGCAAAAGAGGAATTCAGTCAAAAACAAATCAGACGATTTTACAAACATCTGATTCATCTTAAACGTGTAACTGTTCGACAAAAATCCCGATCTGCTACCAAAGAAGATAAGATGTCTTAATTACTCATACAAGCATTTTGTTGGGGTGGGGGTGGG